CAGTTTAACGAGATTGTTTGAACAGAGAGATGATATTGACAAAGCAAGGAAGGTCTGGTTGTGGTGGCAGTGTCACAGACAGACACATGGTCCCTCAAAAACCCATTTCTACTCTTTAGCTGTGATCCTGGGCAAGTTACCCTCTTCTGGTCTATCTCATCTACAAGTAAGGACAGTAAGCATACCTTGCTCATAAGCTTGAACATTAAATGGGATAATGTATGCGAAGTATGAGGACCAAGAAATGGGGCAGATGTCATTGTTTTTTTGACTATTGTTATTGGGGTCTCCAAGATACGTGCTCCCTTGTGGTGAATCTGACACCAGTTTTGATTTGTCTCAAGATCTGTCACTCAAGGAGTAGATGTTTTTGTACCACACGTTCAGTAACGTACATGGAACACACGGTGATGTTCCATTTGCATTCCTCTTGCTGGCCCCCCAGCACCTTTACTCCCCTCTGTTAATGCAGTAAAATATCACGTATTCACATCTGTAACGAAATGTGTAGAATTGTTTAGCATTTGTCTTTTCCTCTAGCCTGTGAGCACCATGTGGGTAGGACTGGATCTGTCTTGTTCCTTGCAACCTTGGCATTTAGTACAGGGTTTGGCATGCATCCATCCAACAAATACTTTTTATTTGTATGTTCTAGGTAGTATACTAAGTGTGGTGCATGTGTGTGCATGCACATAAAATACACTGAAATAGCCCACAAATGATTGCTCAGCCTGAATTAGTAAAAACCCTGAATTTTTCCCATACTTTTCAAGGGCCTAAACAGAAACAAATTTGAGCTGAATAAAGCAGTTTAGATAGGTTCTTTTCAGGGCCTGTTTAATTATTAGGTAGGTATTATTTTCACTTAAAATTAAAATGGTTGTCCATATTCATTCATTAAACATACATTTACGAGCACCTCCTATGTTCCTGGGAATATAGCAGAACAAAATAGACCAAAAACAAACAAAAAAACATAATAAAAACCTGCCCTTGTAGAGCTTGCATCCTATTAGGGGAGACAACTAAGTGAAATAAATCAAATGTCCGTGTACATAAACTGAGGGGGAGGGACAGGGAGAGGAAAGGTTGCCTCACTGCTTGCCACAGGGATTAGAGCTGGAGGTGAGAGATGGCCTGGAGGCTGGGCTTCTTCTATGGTAAGGGTCTTAAAGGGCATGCGAAGTCCTGGGGTTCCCACCTTATGCTTGCCACTGGTGTTGTATGGCTCAAACCGTGAGTGTTGGTGTAGAACCCATGCCCCTTGGGTGTTGAAATGGACTTTGTATAAAAGGGAAAGCATAGATCTAGTCATTAGGAGTTGTTCCACTTTACAGTTCCATTGTTCTGTATAGATTCTAACCTGGAACCATCTTATAGCTCCTAAAATAAGGTCTAATTGATGGTACCAGGCAGATTTCCATCATGATTAAGAACAAAGACTTTGAATCAGACCTTGATTCAAAAGGCAGATCTAGCTGTGTGTCCTTGGGCAGGTTACAAAACCTCTCTGTGCCTTAGTTTTCCATATCTATAAAATAAGGAATCATCAATCCTACTTCATAGTATTGTTATAAGGATTAAATGAGATAAAGCATGTAAAATACAGGGCCTAGAACAGTGATGGCGAACCTATGACACGTGTGTCAGAGGTGACACGCAAACTCATTTTTTTGGTTGATTTTTCTTTGTTAAGTGGCATTTAAATATATAAAATAAATATCAAAATATAAGTCTTTGTTTTACTATGGTTGCAAAGATCAAAAAATTCCTATATGTGACACGGCACCAGAGTTAAGTTAGGGTTTTTCAAAATGCTGACACGCCGAGCTCAAAAGGTTCCCCATCACTGGCCTAGAATATACTAAGCTTCCCATAGACAGTAGTTATTAGCACTATTAAATGTTACCGAATGAATGAATGAATAGAATTCCTGAAGTTGATATTAAACCTCGGATAGGCATAGATGTGTCATGAACTGCAAAGTGCTGTGATGCTATGTTATCTATATCCTGTCCTGTCCCACATACACAATTAGTGATGGGTTGATTAAAGAACTGTCTTTTTCTTTCACCTCCATATTCTGGGGATATCATTTTGAGGCTTTCTAATGTTGCTACATTGGGCCCCAATATGCAGGTGTTTGGAGAACAGATTCCTTATAAACAGTTCACAGTCCCAAATTCTCAAGATTCCCAATGAATGAAATATGATTGGCCAATGCAGAAGAGTGCAAGCTAATGGTGATAAAAATATCAACTGACAGTTATTGAAAACCTACCATGTGCCAAGCATATGTGTCAGGCCACATACAACCCCTTTCTGCCCCTGAGAAAACTGAAGCTCGGGGTAGTAAAGAAAAAGTCAACCACTGGTAAGTTACAGAGCAGTGATGGCGAACCTATGACACGCATGTCAGAGGTGACACGCAAACTCATTTTTTTGGTTGATTTTTCTTTGTTAAATGGCATTTAAATATATAAAATAAATATCAAAAATATACATCTTTGTTTTACTATGGTTGCGAATATCAAAACATTTCTCTATGTGACACGGCACCAGAGTTAAGTTAGGGTTTTTCAAAATGCTGACACGCCGAGCTCAGAAGGTTCGCCATCACTGTTATAGAGGCAGGAATGGACTCCAGAGCAGTTTAAACCCTGCCCACCCACTGCCTCAAGCTGTCCCTTCACTACATCAGGTGACCAAGCCTCAAGGTTCCCACTCCCCTCTGTTAAGATGTGTATGTGTTTGCATGGGGTGTGATTGTTGTTTCTAAGTCTCCAGTCCTAATGAGATTGCCTTATATGGAAACTTAAGGGAAAATGTAGTTCTCAACTATGAGGGAACCAATCAGAATCCAGGGAGGGGCCTTCGTTAATGCTTGATTTAAATATAATGCCAGAGACTCATACAGTGGGTCAGAGACTATAATAAGCTCCCGTTTTTTCTGTTTAAATGGTTTTTGGTTGTTTTTTCCTTTTAATCTCAAGTTCAATTCTGACTGATCAATTGTTTTGCTGTTCTCTTAAATGGTTCTGTGAAAAGAAGTATTTTTGGTTCGGCTGGTGGGTTGATTTAGCAAGGTTTGAAAGAGAGCTCGATATCTTAGGTTTTCTATCTGGAATTTGATGGTACTGTGAGTGCACTGAGCAGGCAGGAAAGAGAAAGTTTTGGAGGACAAGTTAACTCAGTAACCTGCAGGCTGCTGTTTGTATCACAATTTTAGGCTGAACCAAACACTTACTAAGTAGGCCATACTTGGTCACCATTGTTGGGGGTCCAAAATAATAAAATATTGGTAAAGATGTGTAGCTTGACATCATATATGCTAAACACTCAGAAGGCAAAGAATTCATTAATTTAGCTGGCTTTGGTTCCAATCAAGCAACAAATATTTATTGAACATTTGTGAGTAAAACTCTCAGTACAAAGACAAGAAAAACCAAAATCCTGCCTCTAAGTTCACATCCTAGTTGTGGTAAGACAAACCTGTGGGTTATTAAATAATAAGGCGAGAGTCCCTGAGCACATGCTAGATGAATGAGCCAGACCAAGCATGATGGGGCTTCAGAGAAAGATCATTTGGGGCTAAAATAATATGTAAAAGATGAGGCATTTGAATCAGTGAGGAAGAATGATCAAGCAGAGCTTAGACATGGGATAACAAGATATATTCTGTACATTCAATTTGAACCAGAGAAGTTCAAAATCAAGGTAATGCAGCTTATGACAGGCTCAATATCAAACTGTAGAGCTGTCTTTTATTCCTGTAAGTGGAAATTAGCTGAAGCAATAAAGACATGGTAAGTGCCTGGCTGGGTATTGGAGCAAACGAACAACATACAGGGTGGGGCAAAAGTAGGTCTCAGTTTATTCTAGTTTTTTTTGTGTAGGTTTTTTTTTTTAAATCTCACCCCAGGACATTCTTGGAGAGAAAGAAACATTGATCCCTTGCCTTCCATACATGCCCTGACCCAAACCCACAACCTTTCAGTGCACAGGATAATGCTCAACCAACTGAGCCACTCCAGGCAGGCTATTCTTATTTATTTATTGTATTTTTCATACAAACAACTGTAAACCTACTTTTGCCCCATCCTGTATACAAAGGACTTTGTAGCCACAGTTCAGTAACTTGCCCTAGGTCACACACTAGTAAATGACAGCAAAGCCCCATTATTAAAGCCCCATTATTAAACACAACAATCCAGGAAATATAAAAAACATATGTCCATACAAAAACTTGTACATGAATGTTCATAATAGCCAAAAGGTAAAAACAACCCAAATCTCTATAAACGAATGAACTGGTAAAGAGAATGTGGTATGTCCATACAATGGAATATTTATTCAGCTGTTAATAGAAATGAAGTACTGATACATGCTATAGCCTGGCTGAGCCTTGAAAACATGATGCTAAATAAAAGAAATCAGACACAAAGGACCACATATTCTATGGTTCCATTTATAGGTAATTTCATAGAACCAGAAAATAGATTAGTGGTGGCCTAGGGCTATAGGGGTGGGGAATGGGGAGTAACTGCTAATGGGCATGGAGTTTTTTTGAGGGGGTAAAGGAAAATGTTCTAAATTTAGATTGGGGTGATGGTTTCATGATTATGTGATTATATAGAAAACCACTGAACTGTAATCTTTAAATGAGTAAATTTTATGGTATACAAATTATATCTTGATAAGGCAGTAAAAATTTTTTAATTTAAGCATCTAAGACCACTCCAGGTTTTGATGTGTACAGTGGCACCAGAAGCAAGAGGGAATGTGAAACAGAGTTTGGTGCATAGACCTGGAGCTCGGAAATGGTCAAAGCCAGATAAATGGATGGGACAGGCCAGGCCCCATGCCAGTCCTCCCATCAGAAGGAAAATACAGAAACCAGTGACAGCTTTTTCTGCTGCCAAAGAGTTGACAGTTCTCTGTTATCAACAGACTAACATGTTGGTAAGAATGGGCTAAATTTGTCTTCTTTTGTTCTGCAGTTTTTGAGGAGCCGGAAGATCCAAGCAACCGGTCGTTTTTCTCTGAAATTATCTCTTCGATTTCGGATGTGAAGTTCAGCCACAGTGGGAGGTACATCATGACCAGGGACTATCTGACCGTTAAAGTCTGGGATCTCAACATGGAAAACCGCCCCATCGAGACTTACCAGGTACAGACCACCCTCCACCCATGGGTGCATCGCACACTTCCATTGTGGGCTTCCAAGTCAGCCTCTGCCCACAAGGGCTTATCACAACACAGAAAAATTAAAGTGGTATATCCTGTGGGAACCACAGGATTTAAGAGGAGCTGCATATGGAGGGGCTAGAACTTAATCCTTATCTACTGAGCACTTACTGTGTGATGGATACCGTAGATTCAGATGTGGTCCTGCTCTCCTGACAGTCTGGTAGAGAAGTGAGATGACAAGCAGGGGAGTGAGTGTACGGTAATGATACTGAGGGCCACCTGGGGAGAGAGGCTTTCCTAAAGAAGCAACCCTTCATCTGAGTCTTGACTCCATGAACTAGCCAGAAAAATTGTGTTCTTAGAATAGGGTGTTGAAAGGCCTGGAATCAAGAGGAACACGGTGTGTTCAGAAAGGAACTCTCTGCATCTGGAATAAGGAACACGGGGGCAGAAAGAGCGTGGAGAGTAGGCTCTGGTAAAGTAGATTAGGGTATTTTGTCTTTAGTCTAAGTACAATGGAGAGCCATTAAAAAGTCTTACACAGGAAATGCCATTGTGAATTTTGTTTTTACCATGTGTTTTATAGTTCAACTTGCCAAACGGATTGAAGGAATTTAGGGAGGAGGCAATGGTGGCATGCAGGTGGAGAAGGCGGGAGGATGGAGAGTCTGTGAGGTTTGCTAACTGATTGGGTGTGGAGGGAAGAGGAGTCAGGAAGGCTGTGTAGAGGTTTGTGGACTTACTGACAAAAAGAGACAGTATTGTTTAGAATGGTTGGCTGCTGTTGTTTTAAAGAGGAAGACTAGACTTTGAGGTAGAAAGGATTTGCAGAAGCTAATTCTAGGCAAGAGTACAATGGAAGCAAAGGTCAAGAGGCAGGAATAAACTAGTCTTATTTTAAAGATTCTTGGGTTAGATAAAAAGAAGTGGGGAAATTCTAGACAGAGAAATTTGGTTTACATATTTCTTCTTGAGATATAATGCGCATGCCATATTCACCTTTTCATAGTGTACAATACAGAGGGGTGGTCTGTGCCCAAAGTTGTGGGACTAACATTTTAAAATAAATATTCTGGTTGTGCTGGGGATGAGACAGAGAGAATAGGTATGAGGTTATTGCAACATTCTGGCAAGGGGTGTAAGTAACTTAGATGACAGTATTAGCAATGGAGGTGGTCAGAGTCTTGGAATATATCCAAGGTAAAACCAGTAGGATGGGATGTAAGAGAAAAAGAAGCATCCAGGATCACTCCCAAGATTTTTATGCTGAGCAAAGTTGAGTTGCATTTTATTTGGATGGGAAGTCAAGAGTTTGGCTTTGGACATTTTTAATTGGCTCAACATCCAGAAATAGCAAGCAGGCAGCTCAGTATGAGTCTGGATATATCTTGCCTAGAGAAAAACATTGGACACTTATGAGTATATTGAGGGTATTTAAAGCCTGAGAAAAGAAAGTGGATTTGGCAAGAGAGCTTGAGAAGAAGTGGCCGGGCAGGTAGGAGAAAAATAGAGGAATATCCTAGAAGCCAAGAGCAGAAACTGTCCTGAGGAGGGAGTCATCAGCTGCTGTTGCTGAATCAAGTAAGGACTGAGACGTGACCCTTGGACTTAGTGATGTAGAGATTCTCAGGAACCTCCATGAAAGAGGTGTAGGTGGGTGATGGATGAATGTCTGATTGGAGTGGGTTCAGGATGGACTCTGAATAGAGGACGTGGACATAGTGAATACAGATAACTCTTCCTAGAAATTTTATTCTGAAGGGGAACAGAAACATGGGATACAGGCTTAAAGAAGTTTTATGCCAATAAGCAGCAGCCAACGGAGAGGGAGACAGCTAAAGGAACAAAGTCCTTGAGGGAAGAGGGTCCATTGCAAAATTGGCCTTAGAGGGGAAGATAGTCAATTCATCTATCAAAGAAAGAAGAGTGCAGTAGGCTTGTAAATTATGTGATGGAACTATAGACAGTTTCTTATGTCGATTTTCTCAGTAAAATAAGGTCATCAGCTGAGTGAGGCTGAAGAAAAAGGGTAAAATTCTCATGAAGAGAGTGAATTGACTAGGGCCATGGTCAGCAAACTGCGGCTCGCGAGCCACATGCGGCTCTTTGGCCCCTTGAGTGTGGCTCTTCCTAAGCCTTAGGAGTACCCTAATTAAGTTAATAACAATGTACCTACCTATATAGTTTAAGTTTAAAAAATTTGGCTCTCAAAAGAAATTTCAATCGCTGTACTGTTGATATTTGGCTCTGTTGACTAATGAGTTTGCCGACCACTGGACTAGGGAAATGTAGGGTTACTCAGGGATCTACTTGTGGTTTATATTATTGATTTTAAGTGAGGCTACCTGTATGTGTGTTCCTTCCCAACCACATTCACCTGCTTGGTACAGGTAGGGAAGGGCAGGAAGTTAGATTTAACTAGTGATGGGGTTTTTGCCAAAATGAGTACAGTGGAAAGAGAGAGAGAAAAGCAGGTTTGTTGAAGGTATATAGTACGAGAGTGATTATAATGATGGACCACTGAATTGAAGACAGGTAAGGAGGAAAATAGATCAAATCAGGAAGTAGCAATAGAGCAATAGTTGTTAAAGGAATGACCAAGGAAGCAAAGGACAAAACTCATTAAAAATGATGAGGCCGAGAGACCAGAATATTTGAATCACTAAAGAATGATGGCGGGAATAGTGATGGAGAGGGGATCAGGGAACTTTGGGGACCGTAAAAAGGATGGGTATCAGGGAGTTGAGTTTGTTGGCATGGCTTCAAGGGGCTGAGGACTCTAGGCAGTAATAATTGTGTGGAGCACCAACGAGCCCACCCTGTCCCAGGAGAGCAAAAGTCCTGCCACCACGTGAGCAGCTTTAGGAAAAGCAGATCTTTCCATCAGAAGGAAGAGGAAAAGTTCAGAGAGGAGGTTGAGGACGTCCAGGACTTTAATGACTGACTGTGAGTTCCAGAGGGTGCTGTAACAGGTCTGAGGGCCAGAATTCAAGACCACGTATGGAGTTGAGATAGTTTGTTTACCCCTGTGGTTCAAAGAGCATCCCCTTGTATATTGGGGGTCTGTCCCCCAAAGCATACCCAGACTTAAAGGTCCAACTCCACAGCACCTGCCCCAAGCTCACACAGTCCTCCATCTTCAGTCCATAGGTGTCCTCTTCCAGCTGCACAGACAAACCATCTCGTGTTTCAAACTTTAACACAAAAAAAGGGACAGACGGCAGTGGGAACTGGAACCTGAGCATGGGTGGTATTGACAGAGCCTTGATTAGAGAGAAGTAGATTCCGGTGACACAGTGGTGAGAGCAATTAGTACTTTCATTTTAGGGAAAGGCTTTTAGAACACAGCTAGCTAGCAGTGACATGGAGTAATCAGCCATGTTTAGCTAAGAAGTAGATATTTTAGCACACGCATTGAAATGAAATATCAGGTATTGAAATGAAATATCACTACATTTATATACTATATCAAAGATGGTAAATAAATGCTGATTGAGTGTCTAGAACACTGTTGAAAAAAGACTGTGAGGCCTGCTCCAATGGGAAAGAATCCCATCATCAATTACTAAGGCTTGCCCTGAGCTGTAGACTTAAATATGATGAGCTATTTTCCTTCTTCTATTTCCTATAGAAGAAGGAATGGCAACTTGTGAGCCAAATCCAGCCCTGCCTCTGTTTATGTGAATAAAGTTTTATTGAAACACAGCCACACCCAATTATTTTGCATATTGTCTATGGCTGCTTTCATGCTACAATGGCAAAGTTGAGTGGTTGTGACAGAGGCCATGAGGCCCACAAAACCTAAAATATTTACTATCTGACCCTTTACTGGAAAAATGTGTCAATCCCTGAAATATAAGAACAAACCAATAGAGTCTGCTCTTGGTAGGCCTCATGAGCAGACCATTAACTACCAACATCAGACTTCCACAAGTACATAATTGAGAACCCCTGGATTGGAAGACTCAGTGTCAAAAAGGTCAAACACAGTCTAATATGAACACAGAAGCAAAATAATATTTGGAACATGAAGCATCGAATAAGATGAATTTCAAGTTCTCTCTTGCTCTGTTTTCTAAGTGTTTCTCGTGTATATATCTTACCTTATTCTTGCCTCTGATGGAGAAAGATGCATCTTGTTTGCCTAAAATTTTTAACAACAGAACATAAATGCAACATACCTTCACAGTAGCTCTTCTTTTCCTTCAGATGCCTTCAGTTGGAGGCAGGCAGGAGCTTCCCAGAATATCGATGCTGGGAGGAGAAAATACTAGTTCAGACAAGGTTTTCCCCTGAATCCTTCCTTTTATCCTTCAGGAATTACTTATGGATAGTCACAGGGATGTAAAGGAAATACAGTCAAGAATATTGTAACAACTGTATATGGTGTCAAATGGGTACTAGACTTATTGTGGTGATCACTTAATAAGTTATAGAAATGTCTAAGCATGGTGTTGTGCCTGAAACTAATATAATATTGCATGTCAACTGTAACAGAAAAATAAATTTAAAAATTATTTATTGAGTTACTGGTGGTGTGGTTCCCACTAATGGGCCCATACTTCCAAAGCTCACACATTCTGACACTTATTACTCACCTGTGCTGTTTCTATAAGCAAAGATGAAGGATCAGGAAAGGTTCATCAAGGAGAGGACAGCCTGGGTCAGGCCTGAAAAGGCATACCACCACCCTCTTTCTAAACCTTACTGCTCTATCCTCTCCCTCCCTATCAAAATCCTAATTATTTTAAAGATAATAGTTGATACTTCTCCTACCAAAGGAAGGAAGTTGGATGATCATAGTGAAGCAAAAGAATGTGGGACTCTGAGAAGTGCTGCATTATACAAACCTGCTTAACCAAGGGTTTGCAAAACTTATTTCCCCTTTTTAGCATACTCACATCTGTGCCTGGCCTTAAAAGTGCTCCATGCTAGCCCTAACCGGTTTGGCTCAGTGGATAGAGCGTCGGCCTGCGGACTCAAGGGTCCCAGGTTCGATTCCGGTCAAGGGCATGTACCTTGGTTGCAGGCACATCCCCAGTAGGGGGTGTGCAGGAGGCAGCCGATCAATGTTTCTCTCTCATCGATGTTTCTAACTCTCTATCCCTCTCCCTTCCTCTCTGTAAAAAAAATCAATAAAATATATATATTTTTAAAAAGTGCTCCGTACCAGATAAGAGGGAGGAGGAGAGAAGGCTAAGCATCTGTTTGCTCATCTTTCCCCTCCAACAGGAGAGCTGGAGTGTCGGGATCAGAGATTTGGCTCCCATTGCCCCCTGGATTCACTCCCAGCCCAACTCCTCTCCGTCCCCCACGCATTACACACAGCCCAGAAGCAAGTCAGTGATAAAGGCCAGAATCAACACTTTCTAGAAACGAGACCCATGCTGAGTCCCTTAACTCCACCATCACCTTTTTCATAGAAAGTAGTGTCTGGTGCTTTGAGGGAATGGGGAGAACAGTCAAGACATGGAGTAAACAGAAGTATGGCCCAGAAACCAATCCTGTCTGCCACCTGTTGTTATAAATAAAGTTTTACTTGAACACTTCCCTGCTCATTTGTTTATGTATTGCCTGTGGCTACTTTTGCATTACAGGGGCAGAGCTGAGTGGTTGCAACAGAGGGCCATATGGCCCTTTATATTGTAAAAAGTTTGCCAGCCCCTGGTCAATACCCAGAATCAGCCCTCTTTTGCCCTCAGACGCTCTTCTGGTTTTATGCTCAAAAATTCTTAACAGTCACTCAAGATTTTCATCCCTACAAACAGAAATGGCCTTCTGAGCCACTTCAATATGCCCCAAAGGTGGCAGAAAGGGAGAGAATTAGTTAATTTGCAGCAGAGATACCAAGTACAGAACACAAGTCTCATTCTTGCATCCCCCTTCCCCACCCACAGCCCTGAAGCAGACACCCTGGCAAGGCCCAGAACCTTGGGGGAACAACAGAGCCACGGTGGAGGAAATTGATTTGCAGTTAGCAATACACTGTCCCATGACTCAGCGAGCTTGTAAATACCCAAAACGTGTACGGCCACATGGGATGAATCTTACCTCAGTCCTTTGTCCAGTACTCAGCACACAGCTGCGCCTGAGGTCAGCATCCCGCTGGACTCTGGACTCAGGAGAGGCGAGGGGCTCAGGCTGCAAGACAAGGGAGAATGAACCATCACTCTAAATCTGAACACAGTGACACATGCTTTTCCTACCATCCTTCTACCTTCACCCAGGTCTGTCTCCCCGTTGGCCTCATCTCAGGTCATTATCGCGGCTTTTGTGTGGGACTGAGACCCCGTGTACTATAGTACAGTGAGGCTAATGAGGCAGAGCGAGTGGGGGAGGCAGATTGCTAGAGTAGAAAGTGGGTGCCCTGGAACCCAAATACAGGGGTTCAGTTCCCATCCTGTCATGTTCTTTCCTGTGTGATCTTGGACACATGATGTCATACCCTGCACTTCATGCTTCATTAAAATGAAGTGGATGATGGTCCCTACATCCTGAGATGAGATTTTATGGATAAAGCACCTGGCTAATCACAAGTAACATACTATGTACGCCTATTATTATCACCACTCCTTACTACTGGGCCCTGTTGGGTGCCACTGCCCACCTACCAAGCTTGTTTGATCCATCTAGCCACATAAGCAGCCCATCCTAATGCCCCACAGCTGGAAAGGGCCGCGCCTGGTTTCAGACTGGGACCACCTGGATCGAGGCGCGTTTACACCAAAAGAATTAACAGCTCACGTCAACAGAGGAGGTATTCACAGACATCATCCTTTTTTAAAATAATTGATTCTGTTGCTGTATTTCTTCCTCAGGTTCATGACTACCTCCGCAGCAAATTGTGCTCCCTCTACGAAAACGACTGCATTTTTGATAAATTCGAGTGCGTGTGGAATGGGTCAGACAGGTAAGAAAGGCTCAGTGGCCGGGAGCCTCCCAAAGGCCGGCCCTCTCCTGGCGGAGGCCTGGGTGGTTTCTCTTCCATGGATGTCAATGTCAGGTCCCAAGGCCTGGCAGGGATGCCTTGTGTGGGTCACCGGATGCCCCTGGGGTCAGGCCTGGGAAGAAGGGAAGGACGTAGTGAGACCCTTGACTCCTCTTTCAGGAGCAGCGCAGGTGACCCTTTGACATCAACGAGAAAACCTGATCTTTTACACACAAGACCCCCGCAGGGCCAGGCCAGCATGCCGAAAATGGAGAGCACTAATGATCCTCCCTCAGATCCCAGCACGAACGGTTCACGTGACTGCAAACTTTCTAGATCGAAAATTATTTCTTGAAGCTGCTAGTGTAGACTTGGCCAAAGGCCCCGGCGGCTCATTAGCTGAATGCTAGCCGGCCCCATTTATCACATTCCCTCTACGTGATTTATTACTGTTTTAAGGCCTTTGATTTCAACAATGCTTCATATTACCTCCCAATAGTTCATTTTTAGTTTGACAAATACAGATGAATCTCTGAGTTCCAGGAGAACTTGGCTCAGGCTTCCAGGGGCTGTCCCTGGTGAAGGCGGCACCAGCACTACAGTATTGCCTAGAACAGTGATGGCGAACCTTTTGAGCTCGGCGGGTCAGCATTTTGAAAAACCCTAACTTAACTCTGGTGCCGTGTCACATATAGAAATTTTTTTATCTTTGCAACCATAGTAAAACAAAGACTTATATTTTTGATATTTATTTTATATATTTAAATGCCATTTAACAAAGAAAAATCAACCAAAAAAATGAGTATGCGTGTCATAGGTTCGCCATCACTGGCCTAGAAGCACAGATATCGATGGTGCCAAAGCCCTCGGAGAGTCACGCTTTTAGTGAGGGGGAGCTGTCCCTGTCCCTTATTTGGCCTTCTTAGCCAATGACCCAGAACGCAATCCACATAGCCGGGAAGAAATCCCCCTATGGCAGAAGACCCAAGTCAGCCCATCCAGCTGGCATAGGACGGGGGGGGGGGGGGGGGGGGTGGCGCAAAGCAATTGTGATATATGAACAAAAGCTCCTACAGGGGAAAGAAGCTAGCCAGCCCTGTTATTTTATTACTTATTTATATATAATGTATTTGTTTATTAATTGTACATATTATTGTGTATTTGTTGTCATTGCTCTCATTTCCCCCTCTATCTTAGCCTAGATTCAAAAACTACACTTATTAAGCACCTACTGTGTACCAGGCACCTTCACACACATTATGTTATTTAATCCTGACCATGGATTAAATAACAGAATGTTATTTAACATAAACAACATAAAAATGTTAGAAAATGGGACTCTGCCATTTACTGGGCCCTGTTTGGTACCACTGTCCACCCATACAACCTTGTTTGATCCGTCTAGCCACGCAAGCAGCTCACCGGCCCATCCTAACGCCCACAGCTGGGGAGGGCCTTCGAGGTCAGCTTTAAATATGCACAATGCTTCATGGTTTCAAAGTGCTCCTGCTCTCCTCACCTTCTCCAGCCTCACAATCCTGAGCCCCACAACCTGTGACTCACTGACTGAACCCCAGAACAGAAAGGAATCTAGGGAACAGCGGTAATTAACAAGGAAGCTTATCACGATCCGTATTTCCAGGTCCAAGGCTTGTTGCTCTTGGCGACCGCGAAGGACATCAGCAGTCGCACTCTAGAGCAGTGGTTCCCAAACTTATTTGGCCTACCGTCCCCTTTCCAGAAAAAAATATTACTCAGCCCCTGGAAATTAATTTTTTTTTAATTTTAATAGCAGTTACTCATCGCCCCCAAATGCACCTGTGGCCATCACCGCCCCCCTGGATCGCTGCAGCACCCACCGGGGGGCGGTAGCGCCCACTTTGGGAATCACTGCTCTAGAGCCTGTTTGGGTGTTTTTAATAAAATGTCTGGTGCCATCAGCAGGCCACAGAGTGGTGGGGCGTGCTTTAGAAAGGCACCGTAGGGACGTGTGACGGCCCTTTTCCCCACAGCACTCAGTTGCACCATTTCCTCTCTGCCTTTCAGCGTCATCATGACCGGCTCCTACAACAACTTCTTCAGGATGTTTGACCGAAACACCAAGCGTGATGTCACCCTGGAGGCCTCGAGGGAAAACAGCAAACCCCGGGCTATCCTGAAACCGCGAAAAGTGTGCGTGGGGGGCAAGCGGAGAAAAGACGAGATCAGCGTCGACAGCCTGGACTTTAGCAAAAAGATCTTGCATACAGCTTGGCATCCTTCAGAAAATATTATAGCAGTGGCGGCTACAAATAACCTATATATATTCCAGGACAAGGTTAACTAGGAGGACAAGTTATTATTGCTTAATAATCTCACATACTGAATACTAGTCAAACATGTTTTTAAATGTTTCTTTGGGTCTTCATTTGATGCATTGACTTTCATTTCCCTACACGGAAAACAACTGGGATAGAGTTCAAAGGAGTCCAACTTTCCCATATCCCCAGTTCTAAGACACTTTTGTCCAACCCAATAGGTCCCGGACACTTCTGTTTAGAATTGAGAGCTGCCAGCTAACAGTAATTCTTCCATAGTTGACCTGAATTTCTGATGCTTTTCTTTGCCCAGTTTTCTCTGGTGGGTCCCGTGTTTTGTTGCTAGGTGTCTGCTGAGATAAAATGAGGTTGTCTGTAGTATTTAAAGTGAAAAGGGATACGTTTTTTTTTAATTAAACAATTCCCTTTGATTGAAAAATTCAACAAAAAAATAAACACCGTTTACTCTACTCTTTAGAGAAATGCTCCTTGTTTTGTGAGAAAGAAAAAAAAAAGAACTAGTCAGCATCTCCTGCCTCAACAGCACTTTTTTTTTTGCCATTTTCTTTTTTAACAATTTCATTTGAGCCAGAGATTTATCTCATGAGGCTGTGAAGGGGATGCTGAATGAGAAGGGGAGGACCGCATCAGCACTGCTATAGTCTTTCATTTGTAAGCGCCATAGAAAGAGCCTGAGAATCTGGCTGGGAAGCACCGCGAGTGCTTCAGGGGGCATAAAGGGAGCGCTTCTACACGGCGCTTCTCAGGGCTGGCTTGGCAAGGCCACGGGGGCCAGATTCCATCAGCCGCTCTGTTCCTCTTGCTTTTTGTCATTTTAAATGGCTCCATATAATCCTGTACTTACACGTTCCCTGGCTTTTTCTCTTCACCCTTTTCCAGCTTACTTACTCCACTGACTTCTAAAGGCCGGGCCCTGGTTGTTTCTTAGCTGGCGTTCTGCATGAAGCTGGAGGCTGCGGGGACCAGCCCTGGCTCCCTGAGCAAGGCTGGCCTGTCCTTTTTGGGCGTGTCTCCTGAGCAGGCCCCCTCCCCTCTTCCTGGGTTTGGTAACCAAAAGGAACAACCCATCGATCTCCACTGTCGCTAGAACCGATACAGCCAATAAAAATGCTGATTTGTACAGTCTAATCGAGCACTTCTAACCCTCCCCAAGCTCACCATCTGCAAAAAATGGAATCCGGGGGAATGGAGATGCTTTGACATTAGAGTGACGTCGGCTTAAATCTGTGGAGGCTGGTTCGTCCTTCCCCCAAGTTGAAGATTCAAACTAAAACTTCCAGAAGGTTCATGTGGCACACCTCTGAGAAGGAGACGGAGTGGTGGATTTACAGAGACATACGGTCACACTTGTATAAAGAGGACACGAGGGCAGAGATCTTGGTTCAGGTTGCTTTTCAGGCTTTATTAAATTAAGCCCTTCCGACCTGCAGAAAAATCACGCATTCCCATTTTTAACCCGGGCGCGCACTGATTAATGTAAAAAGCAAAACAAAGCAACCAAA